AAAAAAAAAAAAAAAAAAAAAAACTCCCAATCTAATTCCAACCGCACCCATATTCATCGATGCATTTCTATCGTATTTAATGCTACAAGTGTGAAATATTTAGTAATATAAATAAGGTTAAATTTCAGTATTATTGAATTAGAATTTTAAGATCAGCAGATTGCAAAACATCACCTCTATAATCAATATTGTAGTTTTGATGGGATTATAACAAACTCTAGGCTGACCGTGTTTGTAATTTTTATAAATTATCCTAACAAAAATTAATACCTATTAAATTATAAATTTTTATTTAAAATTAGTATTGGGTGTTTAAATTTTTGTGTTATCAATGAAAAAAAAAAAAGGAAAAAAACCATGATCTATTTGACTGTTAAGCCTATATATATATATATAGGTATATTATGAGATTTCATATTAAAAACCCCATCTAGAGCAAATTTGTAATGATCCCAAATAATAATTAAAAAAAAAAAGACGATATTATCTAGTTTAAAATTTTTAAGATATCAATACATGCATCACAGTTTTATATATGCTCTTTAGTTGCAAGAAATATTCTCAATTTTAAGTGAGCCATTCATGCATGATTCTTTTGCAATTTGAGTACTGGCACTCTTTTATATAATGGAACAAAGTAGCCAAAAGTAAGGCATATCTTTTTTTTTTTTTTTTTTTTTTGAACATGGGGGAATATAAGGGGGGAGGGAATAAGAAGATGCACATTGCAACTTTGAACTTTTATCGAAATTATGAGTTTAAGTGCATTCGATCAAAACAGTCAAAATTGCGAGTGCAAAAGTAAGGCATATCTTTGTCTTGGTAAGAGCAAAAGAATATACATATCTAAGATAGTGATAGCACTTCTTTTTGCTAGTGGCAAATCTTGTAATATTCCATTTACAAATGGAAAACAAAGAATTGATTTTGGGAACCACCTCTTGCATGAGATAAGATAAAGTGATTCTAGCATATAACTTTTTTCTTTTAAAATAAGTTAAAAAAACAAGAAAAAAAAGAAAAAAAGAATCAGAATTGGACAGATGAGTTCAAATCTAACCTTGAAGTTGAAAAGAATATCATCAATATTTGTTACTCGACTATTTAGTGCACAAGCTATCAATCTACTGAGGATTAAAGTAACAATGCATCATTTTACTTAGCTTTTGTTACTCGACTATTTAGTGCACAAGCTATCAATCTACTGAGGATTAAAGTAACAATGCATCATTTTACTTAGCTTTCCATCTATAAAGAATGAAGTTGCCCTAAGTAACTGTGGGTCAGTACTGTCAGTACTTGATTAGAAAAGCATATTTGTCACTGGACCACAAAGCCATGGTGCATTTACTAATTTGAATTTGTAAAATAAAGTTTTATTATTATTATTATTATTATTTTGTCAATGTGTTTTTGAGGGTATGTTTGGTTTAAAAAAAATGAAAAAAAGAAAATTTTTTTGTCCAATCAAATTTGATTTTAAGTCAATTTTTTAATTTGATTGAATAAAAAAAATTTTCACTTTTTTTTAACTAAATAAACTCAAATCATAACGTTAATCTAAGACTTAAAAATATGATCTATAAAATAACATTTTTTTATTAACAAATCCAACCTTCAGTAATTTAGTTTTAAGAATGTAAAATAAGTAATTTTAATAGTTTAATTATAATTAACTTTTTTTTATAATAAATTTAGTTGCATTTTACACAAACTTTACAGGGAAAGAAGATTTCCCCAAAAAAAAGAGAGGAAGGGGTTAATATAAGAAACATTCTACATAAGAGGTGAGTCCATATTCAAGTTTAATTAATATTTTGACAGCCTAGTGGTTAGATTAAATGTTATATAGATTACATATGTAAATTTTTAATTAAGAGTTTAGTGTTTTATAGTTTAAACTATATTAAATCATAAAATATCAATAATTAATAAAAGAATTAGCATCTATTATCAAGAGACCGATCACCATTTAATAATTACTTAATTAGTAATATTTGGGCACAAGAATGCAAAACAATTTTTTGTTATGCTAATTCCAATTTCCCCAATGACCAAAACCAGAAATCTTTACTAATATTCACAACATGGGTCAAAAGTCAAAAGATTCAAAACCCTATCCCCTCTGGTCAAAACGGCACCTTTGCGAGAACACGAGCACAAGGTTAACTAGTAATGTAACCTGGCCTTTTCGCCGGCCGTGAAGCCCGAGGTTGTGGCAGACGCAGCTGCTGAAAAGGAAGGAGAAGATGGGTAGTGAAGTGAAGAAGAAGAACCCTAAACAATTACCCCTAAATCCCAATTGGGCTCAGCTCCAACAAGTACTTTTCTCTTTAACCCTTCTCTTTTCTTCAATGGGTTTCTCTTTGTTTTGCTGATTTTGGTGCGGTTTCCTGCAGAAACTGAAATCAAACGACTCTATTAAACCTCCAAGAAACTCCAAAACCCCGCAAGCGGAAACCCAGAAATCTGTCTTAGGTAATTATCGGCAATCTTGTTTAACCACTGTTAACAGCAATGCTGATTATGTGCTTGTGAAAATAGAAAAAAGTTGTACTCTTTAGTTTCTGAAACTCGCTGATTTCTTGGGACTTCTTTGTACACAGGAAAGCGTAAAGAGAGAGAAGAAACAGAGTCTGAGGATACCAAATCCAATCCTCTTATTCCCACAAATGACGATTTCAGGTGCCTTTTAAGTCTCATCTTTCATCTGATACTTCAAAATTTTAAACTTTCGTTTATTTAACCTAGAGTGGTAGTTCTAGTGAGTGATTTCAATAGTTGGTATAAGTAGAAAAAGTTATAAATCTTAGAATTGTATTTTTCTTTTTTAACTCCAATCCATGATCTTTTCTTATATGTTTCGGTTAAAATATCAAATATAAATTGCTACTGGTAGATTACATGAATCCATTCATTTTTAGGACTGTCTACAGTTTAAGAAAGAGTGACTTGTTCTTGGTGCTTAACATTTTATGAGAATTTACTTAGAAAAGAGGAGGGAAATGAGTTAAATGACAGGCACATAGAGCTAGGGCAATGATTGTGAAACAAAGGACCATGTTGCTGCTTCATTGCATAATCAAATTGAAATGGTATTTTTATGCAATTAAGACAATGCAAGCCCCTGAAGCTTGTTTCTGGTTCTGTTTAGGTTTTGTTATTTTCATTTGTTGTCTCCTTTTTCATTCATCAACCATTTGACAGTTTGACTGATGTACTTGCTATGGATTGCGAAATGGTTGGTGTTGGTCAAGGAAACAAAAGTGCTCTTGGACGAGTTTCACTGGTAATTTTTAAGTTTCTTACTGCTGTTATTATCTATTAATCATTCTTCCCTTCATAATTTAAATTATGACTTTATGACATTCCCACTTGAAGTAGAATGAGTGGATAATCTACAATACTGAGCAGATATTGCTACTTTTTCCTATTGGTGAATGTAATTGCTGCTTTGTCTTATCATCACCAACATACATATTATGTAAGACAATAGCGTTAATCCAAAAGAGAAATCTGTTTTCCTTTATGATCACAGAAATTTAAAGTTTTTCAAGTTATATTTTAGATTTATAATTCTACATTTTCTTTTAAGGTCATCTAGTACTTATGTAGTTCAGTTGATGACAGGTAAATAAATGGGGGAATGTTGTATACGACGAGTTTGTGAGGCCAGTAGAACGTGTTGTTGACTTTCGGACAAGTATTAGTGGCATTCGACCAAGAGACTTGAGGAAGGGTTTGTTCTATTGTCTCTTTGCTGGTTTATATAATGCTATAAAACTTGAACACTATCCCTTAAGAAAATCCATACACATGTCTCATCTGTGGATGGAATACCTTTGTTAATTTCTAGATGAAATGCTTTTTCAAGTGTAGCTTTCTTGGAGTATATAAATTTAAGTGGAAATCAGAAAATAAGTATTATTTTTGTGTCAATTGTAATGCTGAATGAATATTCAGTTACCATTTGAGGTAACATTCTACCAAGAGAGTTGGGCTCAAAAGAAAGTTTCTTCTTCTTTTTTTAATAAAGAAAATATATTATGTTTTGGTAAGAATGTCAAACTTCTATGAACATAACTGTCATCATAAGTAATTGAAAGCAAAGGCATAATCAATTGTGCAGAAATGTTTGCTACCATTGGAGCTAACTTGTGTTTGGAATCTTACAAAAGACAGAATGAATGAATGAGGGAAGAATTGAAAAAAGTATTATAATAGGTTTACGTGATATAGATACTAGTTCTGACTGACTTATGTAGGCATTTAGAGCTACACAACACTTGATATATGGTTTCATGTCTCTGCAGCAAAGGATTTTCGTGCTGTCCAGATGAAAGTAGCAGAGTTAATTAAGGGAAGGGTTCTCGTGGGCCATGCCTTGCACAATGATCTTAAGGTTATTCATATATGGTTTATTGTTGTGTTGGTTGTGTCCTGTGTGATGTTTGAGTCTGAGGTTTTGATATGTCAGTTCTCATTCTGAACAGGCATTATTGTTGACTCATCCCAAGAAGGATCTAAGGGACACCTCAGAGTATCAACCCTTTTTAAAGTAATGATTTCCTCCACTATCATGGCTGGATAATTGCATTATCATTGACCTTGTCCTGCACTTATTACGTCTTCTTATAACATCCTTGGTTGATGAAACAGGGAAGGGCGTAGAAAGGCACTTCGGCATCTTGCATCGGAATTTCTTGGTGTTCATATCCAGACTGGGGAGCACTGCCCTGTAAGTGCAATCTGTATGGTATTTTTTAAAAAACTTGATCATACCAAAAATGGAAAAATCGTTACCCAGCCTTTGGATGAAGTTGTATTGTTGTTTGATCTGTTGTGCTACATCTAGCTTGCAACCAGTGTAGGATCTTAAGGCTACTGGAATCTTTAAACCAATGCAAAGAAATTGAAATCTCACATGCTTTTAGTTCTAAATCTCTATGCTTGTTGATGTTGTGGAACTTATGAAATGAATGATCAGCTTGCCCTTCTTTATGCATTCTCAGCTTCCTTAATTTCGTGAGATTTAAATATTATTTTTTGAAGATTCTAATTGGTGGTTTCAGTTTCAACCTTCCAGTGCGCTGGAAGTAACTAATTTCTTAGTAGAATTTTTTTTTCTCATTTCCTTCTGCTTGAAGACCTTTTACACATTTTACTCTGAACTACTGTATTGAACTTTCCTAATGAATTTGTTTTGAATCAGATAGATGATTCCCGTGCTGCAATGCTTCTTTATCAGAAAAACAGAAAGGAATGGGAGAAGAGTGTTAAGGATCAAATAAGGCTCAAGCAAAAGCAGAAAAAACGCAAGCAGAGAAAGAAACCAAAGCAGGGGGTTCCTTTGGATGCCATTCTTCATGAAACTTCATCATAGCAGTTCTGCCCTTCAGTTACTGTATTCTATGTTCTTGAGCTTGACACAAAAAAATATACAGAATTCTTATGCCTAAAGGGGAAGAGTCTGAATGCAGAGCTGGTATTGGTTATGCACTGCAAATGAATAAGCAATAGATGACCAGCCTCTTTTACCTGGGGCCTGATGTCAATGGACAACCCATTAACCTCGTATTATGAGGTGAGAAGAACTTGCTAATGTTGCCATTGGTGAAGTTTTGTAGGTGAGGTGAGGAAGTATATTTCTTTCTTTGTATTATCTAGTAAGACTTCCTAAGGATGCCTCTGTTGTTGTGTTTTCTTTCCTCCTTTTTTGTGGTTATTATAGGATGCTTCCGTTAAGAGAATGCAAATGGATACCCCTTTTTTTTTCTTCTTTGACCGAAGAATACCATTTTTCTTTTTCTTTTTTTTTTTATTAATCTTTCAGTATCCAATAATCACATTGAGTTTCGATTAATTTATAATTAAGTCATGTTAGATCCTATAAAGATAAAGTACTCTTAGCATTTATTTTTTTATTCACAAGATTTAAATTTAAAATTTTATTTGAGAAGAACTAAGTTGTTTTTACTCGGATCAATAAGTTATTAGTTTTTTTCTTTTAGCATATTCTCAACAGAAAAGTGATGGTGGACTACCAACATTTAGGGTTCATTTGGTGCAACTTTTCAAGTACTTCAGTTTTTTTGTACTATTTATATTCCATAAGTTTAAATTTCTCTCTTAAAAACTTATATTTTTAAATTTTTTTTTTAACTTTAAAAAGATTTTAAACAATAAAAAATTAAAAGTTTCAAATTTAAATTTTTCATAAACTTCTTTTTTACTTAATTTTTCCTATCTCTAAAAGCAATTTTTAAATTTTTTATCTAATAAAAGTGTAAACTTATCACTGTTAAACAGTAAAAAAAAAAAAAAAAACCAAAAGCTTCAAGAAGCAGGCCCTTAACCATTTGGAACGGTAAGACTAAGAGAATAAATGATTCTATTATCAAATTGCATAGCAAACGGTATTTAGATTCAAACATTCTACAACTAGGTTCAAGTCTTCTGATCAAATCTTTAATGACTGAAAAAGAATTTAAAAAATAAAAATTGTTATTTGCTATGGCATAATCTATTATCACACGTAGAAATAAAATGATGCAACAATTATTCTGACAGGATTTTTTTTTCTTAATTTAATAAACAATCTATTAATTATTGTTTTTTTTTTCGTTTTAGATTAAAATCTTTATTTTTTTTAAAATCATCTATTTATTTTTAAATTTGTTTCAAATTTTGTTTAATTTAACATAATTCATTAATTGACTTAAAGAAATTTTAGATTTTTGGTTGTGTGACATTACATAAGTCTATATAAATTGTCAGGTAACTTAAAAATGAGAGAAAAATTCTTGCAGTTTCTTGATAGATTACATGACAATTTATATGGTGACTTATATGATATCATACAATAAAAAATCTAAAATTTTGCTAATTTAACCA